ATATATACTCCATCGGCTCTGATCGTTGAATCCATCCCGCATCTGCAGATCCGCCAAATCAACCAAAATGCCGCCGAATACGATGCGGATAAGACCAAGTCATTCGACTGGAACTCATTGACCTGGGCATACGCCGCACTGAATCCGGACTTCCGCTTTACAAGCGAATCAATCAATTTCGCCGAACTGGAGAAGAAGGTGTGTAGGGGTGTGTGTATGGTGATTGTATGCATAGCTCGGGCTGTCTGACAGGTATGATGAACACGTGAAGACATGGGGTGGAGATAGGGAACTACATAGTCAATATCGTCCTTATTGTATGTTTGGAGCTCAGTAAATCTACGTAGACTTCGTGCTTTTGAAATTTACACTTAATATGAGCACTTCAAGCCCTTTATTCTGCCTGCCAGCTCACATCAAGCTTACGTTCTCAGCCTCATCAGAGCTCGCTTCGTACGTACATTCCACCTCGTACCTGAAAGTCAATCCCGTTTTGATACCCCTATTATATTCTTACATTTAACCGTAGGTCGAGTCCCAATCGTTGGAGACTCAGGCATTGTTCGCACTCACATGTCAACGTTGGAATGGAGAGGGCGAACCTAAGTGCAATTCGACAGTAGTGGACTCCATTGAGCAGACTCTGCTCAACAATATTCGAGTACAGGTACATCCTCGAATACGTTTATGACAGAATCCTTAACGTATGTGTGGGTGTGATCATACACACGCGCTCGAGCTTCGAGCGAGGAATCCAACAAACTTCATGTGTTTGAGCACAGATGTGTATGGTCGCTGGACTGCAATAGAAGGGCTGTGGTTTATTACAGGATTTGAGCCTTCTCACTGGTTTGTGCCGAAGAGCATACCGTATTGGTGATTCGGTATACACCTGCAAAGCGCAAACACATCTGTGTCGGTTGGACTCCACCCCTTCACGGAACATGTGCTCTCCAGTGCAACCCGCGTGCTCTAGGATTGATCCATAGTCAACTGAGAACCCACTCACCACACCTTTTCCTCTGCACTCGACTTGTTGCACAGGGCCGTACCGCATACATTGCCTACGAAGGCGGACAGTCCGCGGCACTCACCACCACTGCGCTGGCGTTGAGCTATTTCGCTACACCCAAGGAAGACGCACAAGTGGTGGACAATATGGACAAACTGGCCAACTTTGTGGCCCAGTTGGGAGACCCTGAGGTAGGCCAGGTGCCCTCTGTGGGTCTATAGGACTGTTTATTTGGTGCTGTTGCCTTTATTGTCTGTGCTTGTTGTTGGGCGTGCGCAATTAGGGTCGTTTCCAGGCATGTCTGGATAGTAGGTATTGCGCTAGATGACTCTTGAGCACATTTTCTGGCCACTAATCACAAGGTTATGTTACATGCGTGTTCGTAGTCTGGTACGAGTGCGAGTGCGTCGCAGATGCTACTGAGTATGCAAGCCTTGGGCGACTATGACATGGCTACAGACAGTTCGGAACCCGACTTAAAGGTGACTATCGAACAGGGCAGTAATACGATCTTAAACGAGCAATTCGATTCCGAAAGTAATCAAACAGGTATGCTGATAGATAAAGCAGATATACTCTATTAATTTTGAAGCGACACGCATGTTGGGGCAAATAATGGTGTCTAAGACATACAGAGTATTGTAAACGTGCCATCGTGGGATGAGTTGC